CTTCTCTCCTCCTCTTCCTCAATCTGTCAGCAGCTTTTGATACCGTGGACAACACCATCCTCCTCCGTAGACTACAATCAGTAATTGGACTTTCTCAGACTACACTAAAATTGTTTTACTCATATCTCACTGAGAGAACAGAATACGTATCCCTAGGCCAGTCCAAATCTTCACCCCATACAGTTACTTGTGGAGTAACTGTATGGGGTCCTCGGACCGACCCTTTTTACAATATACATGCTCCCCCTTGGTCATATCATACCAAAAAGTTTGCAAAAACTCCAGCACATCATCCAGAACTGTGCTGCCCGGGTCCTGACAAATATGACCATATCACACCCGTCCTCAAATCACTCCACTGGCTGCCCATCAAACAAAGAATACAGTACAAACTCTGCCTCCTCACATATCAATGCATTCACGGATCTGCCCCTGCCTAACTCAGCGAACTCCTAACATCACACACCTTCTCTCGAAGTCTCCATTCCTCACTGCCTGCACCAACCCAGGACCAAACTCTCCACCATGGGAGACAGGGCCTTTCAGGCAGTAGCCCCCCGACTCTGGAATGCCCTCCCAGAGACTCTCAGGGCCCCACAAAGTGTGGAGGCTTCAAGAAAGGCCTTAAGACATTTCTATTCAAACATGCCTTCTAGAAGTGTAGTTATGTTTTTATGTGTTCATTATGGTGTCTATTTGATGTTTTGTAAATTTGTAATTTTTTTAATGGTGTGTATTCTTGGGGATGTTTCCCTGTTCTGTAGCACTCTGAGATTTCATTGAAATGTAAAGTGCATTATAAATCAAATTTATTATCATTATTATTATTATGTTTATAGCATTTCTCTATCAATATTTAAAATTCTTAATGTTTAAATCTGTTTATAAGCTGCCTACTTGATCAGCCTACCGGTATTTGGAAAGTGCCTGTACAGTGGAATAAATATCTGGTGGTCGAGTGGTCTAAATGAGGAAAATCTCATCACATTCCTCTGCAGTTGATGGAGATCTGCCTGCTACCAATCTGTCACAAAGTTACAGACCGGTATTCCAGTTTATTCAATCCGTCACAAAGGACCTGGAGTTACAGACCGGTATTCCAGTTAATTCAAGAGTCTGAGGGAAACGAACTGGAATACCGGTCGATTATCATGTCGACTGGAGTGAGCGCAACCACTTGTGCTTGAACACCAGTAAGACCAAGGAGATGGTACCTGTGCTAACACCAGTAAGACCAAGGAGATGGTACCTGTGCTTGAACACCAGTAAGACCAAGGAGATGGTACCTGTGCTTGAACACCAGTAAGACCAAGAAGATGGTACCTGTGCTTGAATACCAGTAAGACCAAGGAGATGGTACCTGTGCTTGAATACCAGTAAGACCAAGGAGATGGTACCTGTGCTTGAATACCAGTAAGAACCAATGAGATGGTACCTGTGCTTGAACACCAGTAAGACCAAGGAGGTGATACCTATGCTTCAACACCAGTAAGACCAAGGCAATGGTAATTGACTTCAGGAAAAAAACACTTTCCCACACGCTGCTGAACATCCAGGGGGAGGACATTGAGCTGGTGGACAGCTTCAAGTACCTGTGTGTTCACATTTACAATGAACTGGACTGGTCCCATGACACCAACGCCCTGTACAAGAAGGTCTAAAGTTGCCTCCACCTTCTGAGGAGGCTGCAGTCCTTCTGAGGGGGCTGAGGTCCTTCTGAGGAGGCTGAGGTACTTCTGAGGAGAATGAGGTCCTTCTGAGGAGGCGGAGGTCCTTCCGAGGAGGCTGAAGTCCTTGGCCCATTAGCTCCACACTCTCAGACTGTTCAAAATCTTGGTGTTCTAATGGACAGCTCCTTTAAGCTGGACAAACTTCTGTTGTAAAAACCAGCAATTTTCAACTACAGGTCCTTAGCAAAGTGAAAGCTGATCTTCCCTTTGATAAGTTTGAGCGTGTCGTGCACATGTTCATATTGTCCCATCTCGACTGTTGCAATTCTTTGTAGTAGACCAGTCGTCTCTTAACCATTTGCAGCTCGTGCAGGCGTAGAGAACACATCACACCTGTTCTCTCTGCACGGGCTCCCTGTCAGCTCGTATCGACTTTAAAATGCTGCTTCTGGTTTTTAAATGTAAGGTGAGAGGTGACCGGGCATTCTCTGTAGCTGCTCCTAAACTCTGGAACAGCCTCCTCTTACCTATTCGAAGCGCAGCTTCTGTAAATGTTTTTTTAATCTTTGTTTAAGACTCATCTTTTTACTCTGGCCTTTGGAAACTAAGCGGCGTTACACTGTTATAATATCTGTTGATCTGTTTTTACTACTACAACTGTTGGATTTACATGTCTACATATATAAGCCTAATATGTAATTAATATGATTACATATACATGACAATGATGGATTAATATAAATGGTCATAATAGCATTGTAGTTTTCATTTTCCTTGGGAGAAATCCAGGGATTCTGTTGAGGTAGTACTGGGAACATTAAATGGAAAGAAAGTGTAAGCATAATATGTTTGTTCTAGCTCCTGTTTTTTTCACACACAAAATTCCTACTGAAATAATATCTATGTATGTACAGTGGCATACACATTTTCCTTTGTTGTGTAAATAGTCAACTATGTTACTTTGCAATATTTAGATCTAGAAATCCATTAAATTTTTCAGTACTTATTTCAATTCATAGTATTACATGTGATATTATCTTTGAAGTATTTGAAGGAAAGTCAAAAATACTTAGACATAACATCAGTTTATGGTAGTTTTTCCAGTTTAGTGCCCAATTTTGAATGTCATTGTTTTTCAAATTATTTTGGGTATTGAAATATTTCTTCAATAATAGTAATATTCCAGGAATACATTATTTTGGGCGTGATCTCCAAGTAATTTGTTCTCCAACAGTTTGTTCATTAACGACAGGGATTCTGTTTGTGGTCAACTGTAACTATTTAGCATTAACATAAAGCAAAAGGAAAGTATTACTCACAATCCTGGAACGAAAGTAAAATTCTAGACCTCTTTCACGAACTAGAGCATGGCCTAACAGCACGCCACCATCTTGGTTGACGTCAGAGGTGATGGAGGTCACACACGCCCCTCTGCTAAACTTACAAGCCGGTGTACCTTAGACCACACGGCCACATTAGCATGTTAATAATTCAGCTGTTTTAATATTTCTTTCCCGATTGAACTATTGAACAACTCCCGTTTGTTTATTCTTATTTTGGAGTTTAAAAGCAGACCAAGTGAAGACACAAATAAACATAAATTATTCATAATAATTTATTTTACAGGTTTTTTCCATGAAATTTCCATGAAAACTAAAGCCCCATTCACAAAATCAGCCCCATGAACAAAACAGGAAGATGTTAAGAGTTTATACACATGAATAGTAAGGATGGAAAAAGACAGACATGAGTTTGGGAGCACGAGAGAGAGTAATGGACTATTATTCATACACATTCTACAGATAACAAAATATTGAAAGAAATGTGTAGAACATTATTACCACACAATTCATAAATAATTATACCAATTCATTCATTCATTTTCTACCCCTTTATTAGTCAATTTCTGGGTCCGGAGAGTGGCAATGAGAGATACCACCCAATGCTCTATCAACTGTCGCTCCAGGTATAAATTATACCTAATGAGCTTTATATTTTCCCTTTGGACTGCTCTAAATCCATCCCATCCTTTGTATATATAGATAAAGTGGTGCAATTTCCAGGTTTTAAGATCAGTGAATGGGGCTCGTAGTGTTCCAAGCTCTCTTATCGGATATTTTTGTGAATGAAATAAAAGCATCTTAATTTATACCAAAACAAAGCATAAAAACAAATCTGACATGAGAGTGGTCTATAAAGTTGCCACTCTGAAGGTGTCAATCAAACCCTCGTTTTAGCAAAGACTTTTAACTCACTGGGTTCAATTGACCACATCTACTTAAAAGTTCAGAAAGATAAGTGACCAAAAGGCTCACTTAAGAGTGTGAAAATTCATATTGACAAACAAATCTGTAGGTCTGGGAGTTAAAAACAATCATAATTATAAAAATAATTTTACAGTGGATTCTATAACTTTCTATTTATTCTAGATTATATAAATACTGAATAAGGCCTTTAATACAATGGGTCTATATATCACACATGGGCTGTAGGTAGGAGTGAACAGAGAGTCAAATTCTATCATAGCAACCAAGTGGCAACCAGGGACAAGACTGGACCACTGGTCCAGTCTTGTCCCTGGTTGCCACTTGGTTGCCAAAGCCAAATTGGGATCTTGAAGGTTATATCTTGGTTTACACAGACAATATCAATATAGAAAAAGAGTTCAAAAACATAGTAGAGTTCTAAAACATTTTCAGCTCAGAAAGGTGAGTGCGACAGGAATGATGACAGAGTAACTGGAACCAAAGACACTAGGGCAACATTTTGCCCATGAGCATTTTCCTATTAAACTTCAGCTTACAAGCGGATTAGCACTGTCCATCACTTTTACACACTCTATGGTTTGTTTGTTGGCAAAAAACAATTTTCAGTTTTTCAGTGAAATTGTTATCATATCATTAAGCCCAAAAACGTCCACAAATAAAAAGAAAAAAGCTTTATGAATTTCATAATTTGTCCAGAGAGCTCTAAACTACTGGGTTAGTTGTATTTTTATTATACAAAACTAAACAGAATATTTTGATATAGGCACAATAATTGAATAATTTGCAGTGTTTGCAATTTGCAAATTTAAAAAAAGCAACTTGGATCATTAGTATATGTTATAATTAGATCATGTTTAGATGCAGTTTGGTTCGATGACATCCCCAGTATGTGTTTTGATTGAACCAGTTTGTGATCAATGACATCAGAGGCGTTTTCAGTATTCAACATCAGCAGCAGATGTTTTGATTGGACCAGGCATAGCAGCGGTTTGTGATCGACAACGTCAGGAGTGGATGTTTGATTTGAAGGGCTGCAGAGACGGTAACTTTGTGGTCAACGCCTTCAGCAGTAGCGGTGCAGGGCGAGCAACACAGGGGCCAGCAGAGCTCCAATACCGCCCGAGCGTAGCCCCGCCCCAGCCCCTGTGGGAGAGGTGCTGTTGGTGGAGCTGCTATAGGGCTGCTGAGTGGTGTTTGTGTTGGTGCTGGCTGTAGCGTTCACCTGGGTCAGGTTCTGAGACACCACCTGTAGAGAGTAAGAAGAAGCAAGATTTCAGTCAGAAGTTGTAAGCACATATTTTGTTTTTTAAAATTAATTTACTATGTCATTAATCTGATACCATGCCAATGTGGCTAACTTGGGCTAGCTCATATATATATATATGCCTCTTGTAGCTTTATGGTCACTCTGATCTCTTAAAGTTATGCTACGTTCGAAGAGTCTGAAAAGTGGGATTTTCCCACTTAAAAAAAAAAAAAAAACAGCTCCCACTTTAGAGCATTACAGCAATTGAGCTCATTAGTAAAACTGAGAGTCAAATGGAATCCAGGTACTTTCTGCTGTGAAACATGAGAGCCAGCAACTACGCTGTGCTGTCCACAAATACAGTAAGTGGCTAGCTTTCATTCTTTAAATGAACAGATGTTCCACTGTTTGTCTTATTTTTCTGTGTGATCTAAGGATGTCTGTTAGACCATCCAGGACAAAGTGATGATCCAGGACACATTTAAAAATGTATCAACACTTATGGACACTGATCAACTTCCCACTATGCCAATACCTATGTGTCCTCTATACTATGTGTTTGAACGGTTTGATACTTTAATTTAAACGGTTTCGTTAAGTCCTCTGAGATAACTACTGTTGTGATTTAGGGCTATACAAGAATACATTTAATTTAATTGATTTGATTATAATAGTACTCCTAGTACTCGCCCAAAAAAGTGTGGCGTCTGGGCATTTACTAATTATTGAATTCTTTAAATCAAACTCTCAGACAATATTTTGCTATTAAACATTACTGTTGGACTTGTATCGAAAGAGGGAGCGCATAGGTCCCAGTTCACAGAGGCATGGAATAAGAAGAAGGTCCTTTATTCGTCCCACAATGGGGAAATTTCAGTTTGATGCATACACACATACACATATACACATCAAGGCAAGCAGCGCTCCTTATAGGCTAAGTGGGTTAAGTGTCTTGCCCAAGGACACAACGACAGCAGACATCAGTGTGAGTCGGTGGAAAAGGTCTCATGGTGGGCTCGAACCCACAACCTTTGGGCTCAAAGGCCAATGCTCTACCAACTGATCTACTGTCACCCCTGAATGCAGCATTAATTAGGTCGATCCATCCATTTTCGACCCCTTAATCCATTGCTGGGTCAGGGAAGTCACATAGCACCAGCCCCTCACTGATCCTCCTGCAGGTGGTGAGTCCACAGGAAGACGGCAGCTCTGTAAGTGAGCCTTGATCTTTCAGCGGGTGCTTTGGGCAAAGTGAAGAAGGTGTCGACCTTCCGGTCTTAAGGCCAATGCTCTATCAACTGAGCTACTGTCAGCCACAAAAAGTCACAAATTAAGAGAATTTGAGGTGTGTTAGTGCTTTATAAACAGGCAAAAAATCCAGTGTATAGAGAACATACAGTATGTCAGCGGCAGTCTTAAAGCCACCGTCACAATGCAAGCTAGATGATGTTTATAATGAATGAAAATACCCAAACACACACTTTCATTACTGTATATACAGCCTTTGGCTAGAAAATGAACGTCACAGCTTTAATCTAGCCTTTTTTAAATCATGAATAGGAATATAGAAAATATAGGTCCAGCTAAGAGCAATAGTAGCAGCAAATTATTTTACATCAAGTTATTTGTAAATGACAAGTTTAGGTTATCCTCCAAATGACAGTCTGGGTGCCTCCCTGGCGCTGTTGTAGTATTCCTGGATTAGCGGATCAGTAAATTACACTCCACACAAATAAACTGTGGGCTCTCGCTGCTGAAGATAAACTCACTCAACTAATTAAAACAACTATTCAATAGCCTACATGTCAAGACAGGCCAAAAGCAATGTGGGTAAATCCACAAACCGTAATAAAAGACAATGGGCCTCATTCACGAATAACTTCATAAGAAACTACTCAACTTTCTTCTCAAGTTGTCCTTAAGTAGATTTCTAAGAAGTCCCCACGTGGGATTCATCAACGCACTCGTAAGCCGCTGAATTGTTCGCAGCTGTTCTCTCAGATTGATGAATCCCATTTCCTCGTAAGTACAGCGCGCGTGCCAGGTGCTTCATTAGCATAGGTACTTAGCATAAGTAACCGCCCACTAATGCCCATATAAGGGACTGCAGGGCCGTGTGCAGACGGCAGAGGAAACAGCAACAGGCCTAAAGCAACAGGCCACGCAGCAAAAGAGTCACCCTTTTTTCTTCTTTTACCAGACTGAGAATAAAGTTATAAAATGTTGACTTAAAAGTCGAAATATTATGATAATAAAGTCGAAGTAGCAACATTATGAGATTAATCTAAGAATATGATGAGATTAATCTCAAAATGTTATGAGCTTAATTTAAAAATATATTATGTATTATTTTAAAGATGAATCTCAAAATGTTTTGAGATTAATCTCAAAATATTTTGGACCCTGGGAGGAGATCCAGCGCGGACCAGCGCTGAGACCAATGCAGACCCGAGGAGAGACTGGAGTGACCAGCACACAGAAACCAGCGCGGACCTATAGGAGAGACCGCATAGACTGGAGTGACCTGACTGGAGAGACCGGTGCGCAGAGACCAGCGCGGACCGAAGATAGACCGCATAGACCAGACTTGAGAGACCAGCGCGGACCCGTATGGATCCAGGAGCATGCAGCACAGACCCGTATGGAGAGACCAGTGCAGACCCGTATATGGGAGAGACCAGTGCAGACCCGTCTAGATCCATGGGAGAGACCAGTGCAGACCCGTATATGGGAGAGACCAGTGCAGACCCGTCTAGATCCATGGGAGAGACCAGTGCAGACCAGTATAGATCCATGGGAGAGACCAGTGCAGACCCGTATAGATCCATGGGAGAGACCAGCGCAGACCCGTATAGATCCATGGGAGAGACCAGTGCAGAGACTCAGCGCGGACCCAGTAACCTCCTGCAGCAGCAGTATATATGCCGTTGTTCTGTGGCCCGTGGATAAAGAAATGCCCCCTATAAATAGGAAGGGGTCACTAATACACGGCAAGATTTCCAATGTATTTGATAAAGCGTTGGCACATTTCATTTCAAAATGAATTAAAAAGTAGGCCAGATCTGCAGTGAAAAAGGCGGTATATAAATAAAGATTACTAATAAAGATGACTACAAATAAATAAATACATACATCGATATGACGGACATATCACTGGAATGTTGTATTTTTATTCAACTTCACCAAAGAGGACAACCCCGGCGTGTGAACATGTCGGCACTGAATGCGTACGAGTGCTCCTGAGGACTCGTAGGATTTGTACTTGCCCAAGAGAAATTCTGGTTAAGAGAAATATTCGTGAATGCCACTTTCTTCGTAAAAACCGAGTAAGTAGGATTTACGTACACATCTGTTCCTAAGAACCGTTCGTGAATGAGGCCCATTGTTTGTCATAATTTATTGTGGTCTCAAATGCAATAGCAGTGATTCGCATCGACCAAGGAGAAGAATATAGATAGAATAATATTGTATAGGTGCAGCTCTCAGAAAAATGTGTAAGTTGTAACACAAGCTCACATAGACTACCTTTCTATTATAATAGCCAAGATGAGTTTATAAAAGCAGACAATGGGCCTCATTCACGAATAACTTCGTAAGAAACTACTCAACTTTCTTCTCAAGTTGTCCTTAAGTAGATTTCTAAGAAATCCCTACGTGGGATTCATCAACGCACTCGTAAGCCGCTGAATTGTTCGCAGCTGTTCTCTCAGATTGATGAATCCCATTTCCTCGTAAGTACAGCGCGCGTGCCAGGTGCTTCATTAGCATAGGTACTTAGCATAAGTAACCGCCCATTAATGCCCATATAAGGGGATGCAGGGCCGTGTGCAGACAGCTGAGGAAACAGCAACAGGCCTAAAGCAGGCCTTTTTTCTTCTTTTACCAGACTGAGAATAAAGTTATAAAATGTTGACTTAAAAGTCGAAATATTATGATAATAAAGTCGAACTAGCAAAATTATGAGATTAATCTAAGAATATGATGAGATTAATCTCAAAATGTTATGAGCTTAATTTAAAAGTATATAATGTATTATTTTAAAGATGAATCTCAAAATGTTTTGAGATTAATCTCAAAATATTTTGGACCCTGGGAGGAGATCCAGCGCGGACCAGCACTGAGACCAATGCAGACCCGAGGAGAGACTGGAGTGACCAGCACACAGAAACCAGCGCGGACCTATAGGAGAGACCGCATAGACTGGAGTGACCTGACTGGAGAGACCGGTGCGCAGAGACCAGCGCGGACCGAAGAGACCAGCGCGGACCGAAGATAGACCGCATAGACCAGACTTGAGAGACCAGCGCGGACCCGTATGGATCCAGGAGCATGCAGCACGGACCCGTATGGAGAGAGACCAGTGCAGACCCGTATATGGGAGAGACCAGTGCAGACCCGTCTAGATCCATGGGAGAGACCAGTGCAGACCCGTATAGATCCATGGGAGACACCAGCGCAGACCCGTATAGATCCATCATGGGAGAGACCAGTGCAGACCCGTATAGATCCATAGGAGAGACCAGCGCAGAGACTCAGCGCGGACCCAGTAACCTCCTGCAGCAGCAGTATATATGCCGTTGTTCTGTGGCCCGTGGATAAAGAAATGCCCCCTATAAATAGGAAGGGGTCACTAATACACGGCAAGATTTCCAATGTATTTGATAAAGCGTTGGCACATTTCATTTCAAAATGAATTAAAAAGTAGGCCAGATCTGCAGTGAAAAAGGCGGTATATAAATAAAGATTACTAATAAAGATTACTACAAATAAATAAATACATACATTGATATGACGGACATATCACTGGAATGTTGTATTTTTATTCAACTTCACCAAAGAGGACAACCCCGGCGTGTGAACATGTCGGCACTGAATGCGTACGAGTGCTCCTGAGGACTCGTAGGATTTGTACTTGCCCAAGAGAAATTCTGGTTACGAGAAATATTCGTGAATGCCACTTTCTTCGTAAAAACCGCGTAAGTAGGATTTACGTACAAATCTGTTCCTAAGAACCGTTCGTGAATGAGGCCCAATGTCCGCATTTTAATACACGCACATACTGTTCATATACATTAGTTCCCACCAACGTAGCTCTGAAAACAGAAAAAAACTAATCCAAAACCAAGTTGTTCAAAAAAATAAAGAATACATCAAAATTGTTTTTTTTTTTTTAGATAGTTAGTTTTTTTAACCATACCTGTATACTGTCAGCGCACCGCACCGATACTGTCCACACGAAGCACCCCTACTATCCATTGCGCTTCTCTTTCCATTATCAATATGTCCTTTATTTGAAAATGTATACAGTAGCTCCACGTGGATAAGTGCACTGCGCATTGATGACACTAAAACATAGGTCTTCAGTGAGAAAACCCCTAGTGCCCTGCTTTAAACTTGTGCAGCAGCTCACCTCCTCCACACCACCGACTGAGTCGGTGGTGTGGAGGAGGTGAGCTGCTACTCCCACTGATGTACAGTGGGACATCCCTTCGGCTTCCACCCCCACCAGGGTTTAGACCCGGGAGCTCTGTTTCGATCCTCACAGAAGTAGGAGAACAGTGATGATCCAGGACATTTTATGGACACACATGTTTTTCATAAATAAATAAAAATGTTCTTGAACATGAATTGCCAAAGTTGAACACATTTCTGTATAGGAGCATTGTTGTGCTTTTAGGTAGACAAGTTCAAGATCTGTCCAGGAAAGGCCTTTTAGCCCAATCAATCTTATTTCACATAACTGGTAATGTACACTGTCCCTGTCAAGTAAATCAAATACCGTTTATAAATTAAATTGTGAATTAGTTAAAAAGTTTAAAACAAAGTAACAGCAATAATGATCCAAGTCTCTACAGATAAATATGGGAAACTATTGCACATAAAGTGTAGCATAAATATTTATTGTGCAATGAATCCATAATTTATTGAACAATAAGTGGGATTCCCTGAATTGCTCCTCTGTATGAACTGACTAATGAACTGACCCAGAGCACAGCAGCTAATGCGCTGCCTTTAACCACAGCTCTGCGTCATGGAGGCGTCCTCTGCCTCAGTCCTCCTCCTACTGCATACTCTCATCTGAAGTCAATTGCACATATTAACAATGAGTGCTTTTTTAGCGTTATTTGAAACCTAACTTGAAATGCTGAAAATGATTGCACCTAAAACTCACTGACTGATATACGTAATCTAAAACTCACTAGATTAATGTAGTTTTGAAATTTGTCAATTTTGAAAGTTATTTTTTCCACATTCACAACTTGATATATCTACATTTAGTGAGTTCTGGAGAAACACAGACAACACACTTTAAGTAGCTTCATTATACGTCTCATATCATATGTTCACGACCCAAATGCAAAGCTTTATGGGCTATGTGCAAGTTTCAAGTGGGGAAAAAAATCCTCTTACAGTTTATTATATTGGATTGTCTTAAATGAATGTATCGTTATTGTTCTTGATGTATTGTGACAAATTCCCTTTTAACAGGAGTGGGGTCAAACCTAGCCTGGCCTTAGCCATCCGTACACTCCGCTCAATCATCATTTCACTGCATGTAACGTCTGGGTCTGGTCCTTGTGCTTGTGATTACAATCGGTTGAATTCCATCCGACCAATCAGCAAGTGCGAGAGGCGGGTGTTGTAGTTAGATGTGGGTGAGGTCAAGAGTTTACGTCACGGTAAACTCAGATCCAATCGTTTCAATCTGCAAAAGGAATTAAACCCTTCCACCTGTTAACGGAGCTCAATGGAGCACCTCCAGACCATAGTACGAAATTTAATTTGTACTATGGTGTGGTACAACCAGGCTAGGTCAAACCTACAATGTCCACACTCAAAGGCCAATGCTCCACCAACTGAGCCACTGTAACCACTGTGTGAAACATATCTGCATAACTGTGTAAAAACTACAGTAAATATTACATCCAAAGAGACATAACCCTTAGATTGATGGGCTGAACTGACCCATCCACCCATTTGTATTGTGTCCATTTTAGCACAAATTTGGCCAAGCTCCTCTCTCAAAGCTCTGTGTGGAGTCTTTCCACTTTGTTTTGAGAGATTTTGTTAGGACAAACCTATTTCTGCTCAATTATCTAAGAAGGAGTCTATTATTGTGCAGAAAAGAAGCAGTCCACTTGGCTTATTTGTCTGTCCATATTTGGTTACGTTGTCAGTGTAAATGAAGCCTTCCTTGTGCTGCAGCTAGACAACGGCACATTTGAATCTTTAATCAACTCCAGTGGGGCCTCGAAATTAGCTTTGGACTTTTAAAGCGTCCTCAGAAGCTACGCTATTTAAGCCAATTTGGCACCATATTGGGATAGACATATTCTGGCAAAACCCATTATGTTTATCTTTAGAACCAAATGCTATATCATCTTTTTTGACCGTTTAGCTCCACACTTACTAATATCAGGTGTAAACTGGTGTACCGTGACTTTGTGCCCTTTCAGTCAAAATACAATTTTTAAATGAAATCACTTCAAAAAATGTTCAGACACTGATGTCATGGACTAAATTTCAAATGACTTTTTTTTTTTTTTTTTACAACCGTGTGCTTCTACTGTCATTTGGCAGATCGCACTGTTACTGACTAACTCTGTCCATGTTTTTGACAGAGTTCTTTTAATGTGATCCATGCATGTTTGAGTAATCTTTACAGTCCTGCATTCGAGTCACCATTGATTCGACAATCCTCCTTTTCAGCTGTCCAAACCTGTGAAATTGCCAGGCACCATGCAAGCAATTTGACTCCAATTAAAATATCTAGATCTGCTGTTATGTCTGCACTTCGTAGCAAAGGGGTGAGCACAAATTGATATGGGGGAATTTCAAATATACCATGTAGAAATTGTTATTTTATTAAAAAAAAGTATTTTTGATCAATATTGACACCTCAAATGTCCACCCCGTGGTACTCCAGATATAACAGTAGTATCACTACATTAAAGTGAAATCTTGAAAATGGGATGTATTCTTATAACAAAAAAAAACAAAACCAGCAGATCCATGGGCGTTATGGACTAGATTTGTGCAAAAGAAGACCCATGTTTAAAAGTAGACTATTTGTTGCATATATAATGTTACAGATGGAGAACCTAACTGTTATCGTTTGTCCCAACAGAAGAGTCTTGTTTAAGTAACATGCCTTAAACTGCATACAGATTGGCTGATTGAAGTTGCACCTCTCTTTTTCACTTTTCTGCCAAAAAAGGCAAACCAATCAATATCAATAGCCAAACATGCATGTGATGATGATTATGATCTCAAACCAAACTATTCCAGAAACAGGAACTAGTAAGATGGATATATTGTGTGTGGTTGTCAAGTTATTTGTTGGTATTGTCAAAGTTGGCACTCCAGCTGTAAGGCATAACACAGAGATTTCTTTTGGAAAGATATTGACGTAACATTCCAATAATAAAAACATGAGTTCATAAGCGCGTCCTACCTGTGTGGTTACGCACAGGGCACACAGCAGTAGTCCGAAGTGAAACGGGCACATTTTCCACATGGCTGAAGCTGGGGATGTGATCCGCAGGACAGAAGAGACGGAGTGGCCCGTAGAAGGAGCAGCTTTTATAGGAGCGTGCTTTCCTCTCACACACGCACATGAATACCCCCCTCCCCCGCACGCACGCACACACACACACACACACACACGCACACACACACACACACACACACACACACACACACACACACACACACACACACACACACACACACACACACACACACACACACACACACACACACACACACACACACACACACACACACACACACACACACACACAAACACAACACAACACAACACAACACAACACAACACACCCACACTAGGAGAAACATGGCACAACTTTGTAAAATAATGATTTCATGCAAATGGATCTTGATGTTCTACTCAGAGAATGTCTCACAACATACGCCTTAGTACAGCTGCATTTGGGACGGCCTCTCTGGACGAGGCTCTTCAATCATGTCTCAACCATAGACTCTCAACCGTTATTATAATAGATCCATGCTCTCAACTCAGGAAACATGGGATATCTGTCTCTCCTCTGCTGCCATCTACAGGAAACAATTTGTCAATTCGACAAACACACCTCCAATATTCTTTTTCTCAGTTTTGTCCTATTGCTTGAACACATTTGGCTAAATTTTGCTCATTGTCCCAAAACTCTGCACACAAGAGAACCCGACGCAACACTGGGACATAAACCATTAAGATCTGTGTCAAAATGAAACTCCTCTATCAAAACTCAAACTCTACTCTCAAAAATAAACAATCGTTTGTCAAAATGAAACTCTCAGGACACAATGATACACACTTGCATCATGTGAACACACTTTCAGATTGGAACAGCACAGTACTTTAAATAAAACACTGCAGTCTTTCATTTTCACTGTTTTTATTCTGTTTATCAGTTAGTTTTCTGTGAAGCTCAATGGAACTGTTTTTGTTCTCAACAAAACGTTACCAACAACCATGAAAGTACTCAAAGGTGACAGATAATATCAACTCAATACTGTACATCACAGTTCTACAGTATACTGTGCATCACATTACTACAGTATACTTTACAGTACAGTGTACAGCCAATGCAGTAACACCAACTCTAATGTACAACTAGACAATTGCGTGTAGGTGGTTTATGGATCATGGTCCCTGTTCGGGTTATTTCCACAATGTCAAGTTCCTGCTGTTGGGTGAACAGAAGGTTACAGAGAGTTTCAGTACGTGTGATACGGTATAGTACTGCAAATACTGTAGACACACTCTGAGTTTCAGTACGTGTGATACGGTAAAGTACTGTAAATACTGTAGCTACAGTCTGCAGTAGAGAGTTACAGAGCATGTGACACAAAATAACCTGACACAACACTAGAATATGACCCAGCAGCCCTAACTCAGCTGTTGGGTTTTAAAACAATCTTGTATTTCTTAGTGTGAATGTTCAAGCCAGCTGCTCGTATTTATCCGTCAAACTTGTGGACAATTGAGAATAAGAACTTTGAGCAGTGGTCTCAAACTCAATTTGACTGAGGGTTGCATGAGGTCGAGTCTGATTGAAGCTGGGACGCATTAAGGGGCATATTTATCACTTCTTTGTTTGTGTGTGTGCAATATACAGTACATGAACATTGTAACATCTGTGCACATGCAAACGTACAATTTAACCACTAAAATAGCACACACTGTTTTACTTTGCACACACAGTTTAACACCAAGATTGATAAATACACCTTTACAATTCAAATGTCCCATCTCCTCATACTGTGATAACAAACAGGAGAGAAAGTACACATCTGTACTTGTAGAACAAAGAGACAAAAGAACTGCTGGGCTGAATAATGTTTACTTTGAATTCCTACTAATTGCGTTCAGGGTTCAATGTTTATGGTAAAATGTTAATTGCATGGCTGTTTAAATTAGCTTTACAAGTATGTATAACATGCCTTATTAGTTCAGACTCTCAGTGGGAGCCGCCTAACATTACACATTGATCTTTACTAGGGCCAACAAATCCTTTATGCGATCATTTCAAAACTCAAACGACTGTCTTGGTGGGCTATAAAATGACAGTATACCATGCACATATACCGAGATAAGATGCAAAATAAATGATAATACAGCAAAAGGCCTCTGCGCTCACACTACCCTCTTGTGGCCTTTCTCTACACTACACATTTGAAACCTTTCAGAACTGAATGCGACATGTTTAAGGACAAAAATGCCTCAGTAACCGCTTCCAGATGTACTGAGACAATGCTCTGCCCACCAATTCCCACGCCCACGCTCACAGCCGCAGATGTTGAGAGAGGCAAGAAGGCCAGCATCAGATAAACCGGGTTCCCTAAGCCCGGGTGGATCAGGTGTCCCAGAGAGAGATAGGGGGTGGGGTGACACTCAAGCCCAAAGGAGCAGCTTGGGTTTCTATTCAGACCAGTGAGCCATCCAAGCTAACAACATGAACTCCTGGCACACATTTGCAAAAGCATCTTTACCTTCTTCCTAAATGCTCTTTATGTTCCTTTTGAATACTCAGACTAGTCTAAGTCGATAACTTTTTAAATTGTTGTACCTTTCAATAGCGCACAGAGGGTGAGAGTCATTGTCGATAATTGTCCCCCTCAAGCCTCTACTGGGCTACATCCTCCACTGGGGCCTGCTTCAGACCCCCCACAGAGTCGATACATGATGGGAGTGTTGTACTTTCTATACTCTCTTACAGCATTTTACATGTATATCCATATATTACATTTGAAGACATTAATTTAAAGCGAATATCATAAGGACTAAAACAAAAATAAGAAAATATGTGTTTTGTTCCACTGCTGGTCAGTGCCTCTCTGTGTGGAGTTTGCATTTAGTTTGCATGTACTAATTCAGTTTAATCTATTATTCTATAGCCCTAAATCACAACAGCAGTCGCCTTGGAGGACTTCAGAGAATGGATCTTCATGGAACTGGTTTGAGTTAGCTCTAATCCTCATGGAACTGGTTTGACTTAGCTCTAATCCTCATGGAGCCTGCCTGAGTTAGTTCTAATCCTCATAGAGCCAGCCTGAGTTAGCCCTAATCCTCATGGAGTCTGTTTGAGTTAGCTCTGATCCTAATGGAGTCTGTTTGCGTTAGCTCTAATCCTCATGGAGCCAATTTGAGTTAGCTATAATCCTCATGGAGCCTGCCCGAGTTAGCTCTAATCCTCACCGAGCTTGTTTGAGTTAGCTCTAATCCTAATGGAGCCTGCTTGAGTTACCTCTAATCCTCATGGAGCTTGTTTTAGTTAGCTCTAATCCTCATGGAGCCTGCCTGAGTTAGCTCTAATCCTCATGGAGCTTGTTTTAGTTAGCTCTAATCCTCGTGGAGCCTGCCTGAGTTAGCTCTAATCCTCATGGAGCTTGATTGAGTTAGCGCTAATCCTCATGGAATCTGTTTGAGTTAGCTCTAATCCTCATGGAGCTTGTTTGAGTTAGCTCTAATCCTCATGGAGCCTGCCTGAGTTAGCTCTAATCCTCATGGAGTCTGTTTGAGTTAGCTCACATCCTCATGGAGCTTGTTTGAGTTAGCTATAATCCCCATGGAGCTTGTTTGAGTTAGCTCTAATCCTCATGGAGCTTGTTTGAGTTAGCTCTAATCCTCATGGAGCTTTTAGTGATGATCTGGACATTTATTTATAGACATGTGGTCACCCCACTCCCTATGAACCACTGGCTTCCATATGTTTGTTATTATTGCATTTCCTGCATTTGACTTGTTTGATGCATTTTCATGGAACCAGTTCCATGAAGATTAGAGCTACCTCAGGCAGGCTCCATTAGGATTAGAGTTAACTCAACAAGCTCGGTGAGGATTACAACTAACTCAGGAAGGCTCAATGAGGATTAGAGCTAACTCAAACAGACTCCATTAGGATTAGAGCTAACTCAAACAGACTCCATGAGGATTAGAGCTAACTCTGGCAGGCTCCATGAGGATTAGAGCTAACTCAAACCAGTTCCATGAGGATTAGAGCTAACTCAGGCAGGCTCAATTCAATCAATCAATCACTTTTTTTAATCCCCAAGGGACAATTAAAAAGCACGGATAGTTGCAAGTTACATGCTAAAAATCTCAATAAATAATACATGAATACATACACACACACATCTTGTTTGAGTAAATGTTTGGAGCTTTTTAACCCTGCGCTGGGGTAATGACGGGTCAGAGTTCAGCAGATGAATCACTGTTGGAACAAAAGTGGATTTCCTTCTCTGCGTCCTACATCCCACCGAGCGCAGCCTCTTCCCTGAAGGCAGCCACTCAAACACAGGGAAGAGAACATGAGCAGGGTCTCCCAGAATCCTATAGGCCTCTCTCATGGCCTGCTGATCACACAGGGCAGGAAGGGATACGACTGGCTGGCCAATGATCTTAGAGCAGACATTTGTTACTCTGTTTAACTGAGCCCTATTTTGTGCAGTGACAGAGTAAAACCAGCAAACACATGAAAAAGAAAGAACACTCAATAAAGGCACGGTAAAAGCTCATCATGATGTTTGGACTGACATCAAACGCCCTTAATTTCCTTAAAAGATATTGGGCCTCATTCACGAATAACTTCGTAAGAAACTTCTTAAATTTCTTTTCAAGTTGTTCTTAAGTAGATTTCTTAAGAAGACCCTACGTGGGATTCATCAACGCGCTCGTAAGCCACTGAATTGTTCGCAGCTGTTCTCTTAGATTGATGAATGCCAACTCCTCGTAAGTAGAGCGCGCGTGCCCGGTGCTTCATTAGCATAGGTACTTAGCATAAGTAACCGCCCATTAATGCCCATAAAAGGGACTGCAGGGTCGTGTGCAGACGCCAGAGGAAACAGCAACAGGCCTAAAGCAAAGAGTTACACGGAGCAAAAGAGTCACCCTTTTTTCTTCTTTTGCCAGACTGAGAATAAAGTTATAAAATGTTGACTTAAAAGTCGAAATATTATGAGAATAAAATCGAACTAACAAAATTATGAAATTAA